GGGGCATCACGATTAGCATGTATAATGTGGGGGGTGCTTGGGGTGGGCTGTGCAACACAGGGAAGACAAGTAGTGATTCTACAGCATCTTACTACGCTGATGGACAATGACTCTAATGGTGTTTGTGGGGGGGACTTGGTGATCGGGGGAGTCTTCTAAAAATAATGTTCCTCATGTAATTGTAGATTAATGATAACAAAATAAAAAAAAAAGGATTGCACGTAATAAGGGAAAACGAGATGCTATTACAATTGCTAATCAAAACAGAGCTGGTGTATCTATAGTGATATCAGAAAGATTAGACTTTAAGTCAAAAAGCATTACTAATGATAGAATGTTTAATTTGCCAAGAAGATATAATCATTTTAAATATGTATGCACCTGGAGACCCCTAGAGAGTAAATACTTTGATTGGCTGTTCATTCCTTGGACCCATGGAAACTGTCACAAAGAGTAAAGGTCAGTTTTTGACAATGAAATACAAAATTTATATACATATAATAACTTCAGAATATATAAAGAAAAGCTTAATATAATTATAAGAAGAAAAGATATCATACCTGAAGATTTTAAAACACCTTTCTCTATAATTGATAGATGCAGATAAGAAAAGAAAAGAAAACCTAAAAAGCATGCATTCTTTTTTAAAAAAAATTGATGAACTTTTTATTTTTTATAATTTCAGGTTTATGAGAAAGTTCAAAAAATACTACAGAGAATTCGCATATACTTCTCACCCAGTTTCCCCTAATTTTACATGACCATGATAGATGTGTCAAAACTTAGAGATTTAATGTTGGTACATTACTATTACCTATATTGTAGTCTTAATTCATATTTCACCAGTTTTTCCACTAATTTTTTTTTGTTTTTAATCCAATCCAGGGTATCCACTTGCATTTCATCATACCTTCCTAGTCTCCTCTTGTCCATGGTATCTTCTGTCTTCTCAGTCTTTGTTTTTCATAACCTGACTTTACATTTCTTATACACTCAGGAAATTTACAAAAATTAACCTTATGCTGGGCCATAAAGCAAGTTTCTACCCATTTCTAAGGATTTAAAGCATTCAGACCGTAGATATCCTCTGACCACAGTGCAGTTAAGCTAAAATTTAGTAGAAATACAAACGAGACTTATTTGGGTCAAAAATCAGAATGAAACTTAGAATATATTTTAGACTGCCTACCAAGACCATATCAAAACTTGTGAGATTTAGCTGAAACAGTTTTTAGAGGGATTATAAAGCCCTAAATTCATATATTAAGGAATAAGAAAATACTGAAAGTTAATGAACTATATATCCATATTAAGAGCAGAGAGTATTCATAGACACTGCGAAAGTGACTGGTGATTACCATTGCGGACAGTTTGGGGTGGGTGGGTGGGGAGAGTGAAGGGGATAAAAGGGCACAAAAATTCTCAATTATAGTATAAGTTGGTCATGGGGTTAGTAGTACAGCGTGGAGAATATGGCCAGTGATTCTGTAATGTCTTCCTATGTTGACAGATAGTAACTGCACTAGTTGAGGTGAGGATTTAATAATATGGGTAACTGTCGAATCATTGAACCACTGTGTTGTATACTTGAAGCAAATATAAGATTGTATGTCAATGCTACTTAAATTTAAAAAAACAGATTGTTAAAATAGAAGAAGGTAAATATATAAGGTTAACAAACCTAAAATGCCTTTAAAAAGATTTTAAAATGACAAAATAAAATTTTTTAAATATGTCATTTATAAGGGTTTAACATCCAAAATATATAAAGGACTCATATGCCTCAATACCAAAAAACACAAATAACCCAAATTAAAAAATGGTTGGAGGGCTTGTATAGACATTTTTCCAAACAACGAATACACATGGCCAACAGGCACATGGAAAAAAAAAATGTTTCACATTGCTAATCATCAGGGAAATGCAAATCAAAACCACAATGAGATACTACTGTGTACAAACATCATTTACATAACAAAAGTTCCTAGGTATAAATCTGGCCAAAAGATGTGCAAGACCTCTATGTGGACAATTTTAAATCTGAGAGAAATTAGAGACCTATGTAAATGTAGGTCTTTACTCAGTTCTTGGATTTTAGATTTCAAGACTGAATTTATATAAAGAGGTCAGTTCTCTCCAAAATAAATTATAGTTTCATTCCAACCCCAAAGACGCAGCAGCCTTGTAGAGAGTAGTTGCAGAATGTGATGAGTTGATTTTACAATTTATATGGAAAAAGCCAAGATACTCTTGATGCAGAACAAATAAGGAGCACTTGCTCTCCAGATAGAAAATATTTTAAACATTGAAATTAAGAATTAGACCAGTGACAGAGAAGAGTGACGCCAAAAAGACCAAACATATATAGACAGAACTAAGCACAGTAGAGCAACGAGGGAAAGGCAGTCTTTTCAATAACAGCTCCCAAGACAATTAGATATAGCCATTAGTTAGATAACCAATTCAAATTTCTAACTAGATAGCCAGTTAGAAAAACAGATTATTTCCCTCAGCTCACATTTTAAAATTCTATTCTATATTTGAGAATGTGTTTCTGATCTTAATGACAAGCTAGGATTTCTAAAACAAATGCATTAACCATGAATAACATTGGCAAACAAGACTATATTAAATTTGAGGACTTGTGTTTGTCTTAAAAAAACCCAAAAGAAAATATAAAAGCAAGCCACAAAGTGTAAGATGATTGCAACTTTATAATGAATAAAGGATTACTATCCAGAATCTTTAAAGAGCAGCTACAGATAAATTTTTTAAAGATTGACAATCCAGTAAAAAAAATCAACCTAGCAAAAAACTGAACAGGCACTTTACAAAAATAGATATTCCAATGGCCAGTGAATATATGAACTAGTTATCAGGCAAATGCAAATTAAAACCAAAATGAGATACTACTGTATACCCACCAGAATGGCTAACATTTAAAAGCCTGATGATACTAAAAGTTGGAGAAGATGTGCAATGTAGAGAACTCTTTATTCCTTGCTGATGAGAATATAAATTGGCTGTCTACTTAGGAAGGCAGTTTGGAGTTACCAAGTAAAGTTGAAGATAAGTATACCCTAAGACTCAGCAATTTTACAAAACATATTCCCTAGAGAAACTCTTGATGTGTGCAACAGGATAAATGTACAAGAATTTGTCGTAGCCCCAAAGTGAAAACAGCTTAAATAGCCATCAAAAAAATGAATGAATAAACATACTAGGGTATATTCAAATTATGGAATAATATAAAAATGAACAAAGAACAGCTGTATACTACTACATACAACTAATAATATGTTTGCTTATTTGATTTATTGTTTGTCTTTAGAATATCAACTTAATGAAAGCATAGACTGTTTATTTTGTTCACTGCTGAGTCTGCAGTTTATGTTAACAGCACCTTGTATATAGTAGTACATAAAAACACCCAAATGAGTTAATGGAATGAAATGTTAATGTAGAGACTTTGCCTATAAAAACTTGAAATCTTTGTATTGTCCATTGCTAGTCTATGGTTGATTGATTCCTGTGTATTGATCTTGTATATTATTTTAGTTGTATTTTTGTGGATTCCTTAGGATTAAAAATTCATATTCTTTGGAAAGATTTAATGAATTTGAGTCACTAAGGAAAATGGCTGTAAAAGGTTAAGGTGTTAAAATAATGAAGATCTAAAGGGATCATGCCTTCAGATTGCTTCTAAAGGGTCTTAAGTTTTCATTTTAAAAAAGTCAAAACTGAAAGTCTTATTTTTGTGTGTGGTTTACATAGAATTACAGTCAAAACATCTGCTTTCAAAGAAAAGGCTTTATTTGGCTCTGCATCAGACTGACAAGTGAATATATTCATTTGTTTAAAGTTAACAAGAAATGTTTAAGATATTTATATAACATTTTCTACAATTCACTGCTTTGACTTTTTCAATTAATGATCTTCTCAACCAACAGTTAAGAGAATTTTACTATCCTAGAATTTTGCTGAAACAAAGAAAATAAATTGTAGCCTAAAGCAGTTGTTCTCAAACTCTGCTATGCAGCAGCAGAATGAAAACAGACAATCGAGAAGCTACATGAACCTGGAATTCTTTTAGATCTTTTTAACAAGTATCCCAGTTTGAGAACCATCATCCAGAGTATTACTTGTACAGATATATATCAAGACTTGTGGTATTCAAATAGTAAGTTAGTATTCAAGAAGATCATGTGGATATGAAAAGAAAACATTGGCCCTATTATATTTTTATATTGTATTTGTTCTATTATGTATGTCAAAATAGTACATTAACTTATAAATAGTTATATTTTAGGGATGAGAGAATAATCAAAATTGTTTAGGCAGCAGAAACTTATTTTTCTTCAATAGTCAAAGTATAATGGAGGGAGAGTATAGATGCCCAATTTTATATTCCAAAAGCTTAAAACTTTGAAATTACTTTCTTCTGTCCCTCCAAAGTCAAAGATTAAATAGAATCATGAGGCAAATACTGTCTCTGGTTATATATATTATTAAACTTTCTTCAGGAAAATACCATTAGATATGTCTACTCATATCTCCATTATACTTTGCTAGGAACTATGTAATAAATAAAATGGAAAAACTGTTAATTCCATAAATTAACATCTTTAGATTTGCCTTGCTTTAAATGCAAAAAATTTGATTTTTAGTAAAAAAAAAAAAACATTTGATTTTTCCTCCTGAAATAATTTTTTTTTTTAATCACTTAAATGCATCTTTACAACCTGAGAAATAAAGGTGCATGTAATAATCCCATTTCATTATTTTTTACATAATTGAAATACAGCTAAGCAGTACTTTTCATAACATGTTTTAGTGAGCTATTAACAAAACTGGAAAGTGTTAGGTCTTGATATTCTTTGTTATAAGTAATACTCTTATATTTAGTATTGTATTAGAATAAACCCTAAAGAGTGGTACGGGTTTCTTTGTTATTGTTTTTAATCTTATCATGATTAGTGAGACAGTCATTTGTTTTCTAGATTGATGACACTGTAAAAGCTGTTGGTAACTGCAGTTACAACCAACTAGTGGAGAAGATCATCTCTTGTAAGCAATCAGACAATAGTGAGCTGGTTAGCGAAGGTGGGTGAGCGCTGCTATTCCCTAACTTATTCTTGGCGAAATAACTTGTCTTATAATTTAATATCTTTTAAATGTCTTAAGACTTCTAAAAAATGCGATACTGCTTGTAGAAATTGAAAGAAGTAATTATTCATAAAGGTGGCAGTGAACATTTTTCCTAGAACCCTTTCCACTTGACTTGTAAAATCAGGCCTGGATTCTAATAGAATCCTTTGGAATCACTTGCTAGCTTTCATATGGTCAGTTATCCAGGGGTTACTAATAATTACTCTTTTAAAAAAGAATTTTTATTTGTGAGTACTGACAGCAGTTTATAATTCATCCTGAGCACTTGTTTGAGATGAGTATTATGACACTTATATGTTCATTTTTGTAGAGCTCTGCTTTATGTTTCAGTACAATACAGTATATTAAAGCTCCATTTTAGGTTGGAGTGTACCTCTGATCATCAGTGTTCCTAATCCTTAGCTAACTAAATGGCTAAATTCATCATCACAGAAGCAGATTCCCATTTTTTTCAGTTGTGTTCCAGTCAATGAAGAGAAGAGCAGATTTGAAACCAGAATACCATCAGCAGCAATAGCGTTTGGATATACCTTTCCCATCAACCCACTTCACTTTTTTCCCCATAAATATGTAAATACTGAGGCTGCTATTCTCCTCCATTTGAAGAGAAATCATGAGAAGCAGGGGATGAGCTTCATTCTCTCAGACAGTTGTTTTTTTACATGAGGTATAATAAAGTTGATTACAATCACCATATTTAAAAAATTGAAACTAAATGGCTACAAGAGTACATACAAACATATAAAGGAAGATGTGTCCATGTGTCCGTGAGTCTGATACAATATTGATTAATCAGAATCCAAATATTATATTACCCAATTATCTTTAAGTTTAACATGTTTATGCAAGAAGCAAGTAGCAAGAAAATATACATTTTTTTAGTTGAGGCTTATCCTAGTCTTCCACTTGCAATAAACAGATATATGGGGATACTGATCACTGGTTTGTATGACAAGTCTTTCATTACAACCTAAGGCAACAAAGTTTAAATTTTAGGGAGGAGAAGAACAACAAAAGCTGTTAACAAAAAAATATTTTCTTTCAATTAACAAAGTGCCATTCACTAGAACTTTCCATTCCTTATTCAAGCCATGACTATAAATATAAGAAAGACTAAAAATTTCCATCTGTAGATTCCTACTTTCTCAATAACTTCCAATATGCTACTCAGTAATAATTGAGGGAGCAGTAGGATTCAGAAAATTTTAAATAGAATGATAACCAAAAAAATGGTATTTGCCTGAATACATTTATAGGATAAGAAGCTATAGGAAACACTGTTCACAGGATTTTTCCCAAGCCAGTCTGCAGTGTAATAAGAACAAGACTTAGGTAGGACACATTGAGAAAATGAACAGCAACGACAAAAAGCCAAGTCCTTTCATCACTTCTCCTTTTTCTCAACCTGATGTTACAACTATGATTATTTCTCTGACATTGATTCCCCAGGATAATGAAAAACTTTAGATAATTTATACAGTATCGATAAGTTGAAAAAAAAGTCTTGATAAAAACAAGGAAGGAATCATCATCCTCTGTGGAGGTGTAGAATTTTCTGGTAATACATATACCAGAATTGATTAATTCCTTGGCATATAAATGTTGTAATGGTGAAATTCTGCATATCAGATTTCCATATCAAGGAATAATTACATATGGAACTCAGTGCAATTAAAAAGCTAGCTAGTTTTAAAAGGGGCATTACGATTAGCACACATAATGTGGGAGGTGGGCACGGGGAAGGCACTACATACAGAGAAGACAGGTAGTGTTTCTATAGCATCTTACTACGCTGATGGACAGTGACTAATGGGGTATGTGGTGGGGTCTTGATAATGGGGGGAGTCTAGTAACCACAATGTTGGTCATGTAAGTGTATATTAATGATACCAAAATAAAAATAAATAAATAAAAGCTACCGAGTTTTGTTTATTATGTAGTCTGTTTGAAATAATTATTCAACCCTAATGGTTACATATATAAGGCATTAAGAAATTATATAGGAAAGAAAAGGCCACAATGGACATTTTTACTTACAGTGTAGCAATTAGCTTTCCTCCATCATTTTTTTCATCATGTTTTCTTTGGTATAGTGTTCAACTGAAGTGGTCTGCTTTCTTTTTCTATTTAGCCTACAACTGTAATTTTCCTTTTGAATCAACAAAATATCTAAAAGGTGATTTACTTCTAATCCTTGTTTATCAGAAAGTATTAAGTTTTGGTCTTAGATAATAACTACTTACTTTTTATTCAAATATTTCATCTGCATAAGGTGCAGACTACAAGAAATAGTTTTACTATCATTCTTTTTTGATGAAAAAGAAATGTTATTTATCTTACAGTTAAATAGAATTACATAGTCTTTCAATTTCTTCCAGATAACATTCATTTTCTTTTGATAACAATACCTTGTAAGTAAAAGTATGAAACACTTCATGTACATAGAATATGTATTATTTGCTACCTCTTTTAGGTGTTAATTCTTGGAATCTAGTTATAATGATAGCAGCAAAAAATAAGGAAAAAAATAGCACAGTACCAGTTGCCAGACCTCACCAGAGCTTGCTCTTTCATTCCAGATGTTCTCTCAGGAATAATTTCTTCTTTAACAATTGTTTTTAGGTAAACAATATGCTTAAAGGAATAATTCCAGAATATTCATTTATTCAAATATTTATTAAGCCTTATTTTTTGCCATAAACACTGAAGATTACAGTTTAAATTCACATTATTTTTGGTTAAAATAGTAATAATTTCCTTTTCTTTTTCTTTCTGTTTTAAATTGAAAAATCTCAAACCCATAAAAAAGTTGGCATAGCATAGAGAATCTGTGTGTGTGTGTGTGTGTGTGTGTGTGTAAACAACAACAAAAAGCCAGTCCTTTCATCACATCTCCTTTTTCTCAACCTGATGTTATGACTATTATTTCTCTGATATTGATTCCCCAATATAATTAAAAACTAGGTAATTTATAGAGTATTGATAACCTGAGAAAAGCATCTTGATAAAAGCAAGGAAGGAATCATCCTCTGTAGAGGTATAGAATTATATATATATATATGTCATTATCTCAGGAAATTTAGCACTGATACAGTATTATTATTCAGAATACCCTGGCTGTGTCAGTAATGTCCCTTATAGCTTTAAAGTTTTTTCTATGTAGGCTCCAATCAAGGATCATGTTAACTGTCATGCAGTTTAGTCTCCTATAACCTAGAACAGATCCCTAACTATTTTTTCCATCTTGTTTTCTTTTTGTTCTTTTGTGATGTTGACTTTTCTTAATGGTATAGGCCAGTTGTTTTGCAGAATAGTCCTCAGTTTGGATTCCTTTGATTGTTTCCTCATAAGTAGATTTAGATTACATATTTTGGTGGGAATACTACGTAGGAGACATTGTGTCTTTCCCATCATATCAAATCAGGGGGCACATGATGTCTGACTATCAAATATGATTAAGGTAGTATCTGCCAGATTTTTTTATTATAAAGATTCCCTTTGCTGTTGTAATAGAGAAGTACTCTCTGATGTTATGCTTTGAAATTATGTGAATACCCTGTTCCCTAATAATCTTTCACCTAATAGAGTTGGCATTCACTGATTCTTGCCTGAGTCCACTTTATCTATGGTGGTTATGATATTTCTATTAATCTTCCCACATTTATTAGTTGGCATTCTATAAAAAATAATTTTCCATTCTAATCCTTCCCCATTAATAAAATTTTTGTTATTGGTGTACTTATGAATTCTTTTTTATTTGGTGTGTTATGATCCATTATTACCATTATTCTTTTTGATGCTTCAAATTCTCCCAGATATGGCCAGTGGGATGTGCTGAAGCTGGATCCCATATTCTTTTGACATGTCTTCATCATTTCTTGAGCACTTTCTTATTTTCTAGCACAATAAAATGTTCTGGGCTCCCTACGCTACTCCAGAATCAAATCATGAGCCCCCTATATTTTCAAAGAAAATCTGGGCATTTGTCATATTAAAGGATATTGTTTTCTCCCATCCCCTTAAGGAAAAATATTAAAATGTTACTTGATTTTTGAAACCTAACAGTAGATAAAATTAAAAAGAAAATTATAATTTGTTTAAAGCTAACACAGTGACAAAGTTAAGTTCTGATTGAGTTTAACTTTGAATGCAGATCTCAGACAGGGCTACATCTAGCCAACATTAAAAATAAGCTAGGTTTTCTTTTTTCCTCTATCTTCTTTTTGTTCCTTTTTGCTTAATTTTAGTGCCCTTATTTCTAACTTCACCTCCTTTAAGATAATCAGTGCTTACATGTTCTCTACTAACTTTTCAGTAATAGTGGAAAATTATTTCATAAACTAGTATTGAATTTCTGAAACTAATAAATATTTAAACTAATATCAGGAAGATAATTTTTAACTTAAATTTATTTTTAGTAATATTATCTTATTACCATTATATTAATTTCTACCTTTAGTATCATTAATAACAGTATCTATAGCAATAAAAATGAAATTAAATTAAATGTAAATAAACTATTACTTGAAGCAGTGCATTAAGTAAACTGTTATATAACACTTAGATTTACCAAAATTTGTTAAATTAGTTATGAAATGTTGAAATTAGATTCAGCTTTTGACTATTCCTCTAAAATCACAGGGGTATCAGGAAACATTGTTCTAAGTCTAAACCAGTCTATGTTTTATAGTTTGGGGAGAAATGCAATTCAGTTTGCTTTTGTAATAATCATCAGTAATTTTTTTTAACTTGATACCCATAATTCTCCTAGGTCCCAATATTTACTTCGCTCTTACATCCTTTGAGCAAGTCACTTATTCTGTCTGAATCTGTGTCCTCCTCTGTAGAAAGCGATAGCTAAGAAAGACCTTTCTAGTGTTGAATTTTTAAATTTCACACACATGAAAGTAATATTGTGCTGTATCTCCACTGAATTTTTCTGTTTTTGAAAGGATTTGTAGAGAGGATGTTGTGTGCATGAAGTTTGGGAAGAGCGTTTTAGAAATACCTTTTTGAAGGACGTGTTTGGTAACATGGGTAGTATAGTCAGCCGTGGTACTTCTCAGCACAGGCATAATGCTTTTTACGTGCTATATAATAGTGAGTGCTTTATAGTATATATATATGCTGCTCAGTAACTTAGTACTTAGCGAAGTAATGATAATCAGGGAGAGAAGCTCTTATTTCTAAGTGTGTAAACCCAAGAAGTTGCAAATGTGCTATAAATTTCCTTTGGCTATGGCCTTTTGTATGACTTTTTGTGCTTCCCCTCCTACCTTAACCAATTCCTTGGAATAGTGTGATATATTGGTAACTTTTTACACGCGCTTTGCAGCTTGAAGTCTACAGCTTGGCACTAAGGATGAGGAGGGAGAGGGAGTGGAATAAATCTATATAATCTAGTGCCTCTTGGCCCTACTAAGCTTATTTTCAGTTTCTTGTTGAACTGTCAGCTTTTTAACATAGGTTTATCTTTCCTCCCAATATCTGAACCTCTCTGCTCACTTCCAAAACCCTCAAAGCATTCTCTTTACCCCTATTGCTTCTGAAATATTTCTTCCTTATTAAAGGAAAGGAGCAAAAGGAGGAAGAGAAAGGAGGAAATAAAAGAAATATAGGCTATTAAAATATTTATGCAGTTTATTCTCATTATTCCCACTAGTTATGTTCTATAAGGTTGATGTGAACACTGAATTAGTAAATATCAAACCACTGCTCATTGGGGCAACACGCAGGACTAGGTTCCTAGGAAGATTTTTCATCAACTGATCAATATATAACCTTGTTTTATGTGTGTTTCTGTTTAAAGACACCTTATTTAGTATATATATTGTTAATTCATTAATATTAAACTCACAGACAACAGTACTATAACTCATGCCTGAATGAAGCTGCAAAAATACATATTTTCTCTGTAAAACACATCACAGTTTTTGTGCACTTAGGAACATTAGCCAGCACTTCAGCATTATGCTTGGGAGCCATTTTCCACAATAAAAATCATCCAAAAAGGAGGTAGAAAATGTGTAAAAATGTGGCAGTAAATACACCGTGAAAAGGACACTTGTTTGCAATATGAGAACAGGAACAGGAAGGCAGAGCATTGCCTTGTTTGACCTCTGGGGAATGTGTACATTGGGTGACTCATATTTTTGCTGCTTTGCACAGGGACAACCCTGAAAGTGCAGCAAATAATGATTTTGGAGTTATAAATTTTAGCTAAGGGGTGAATTTGCATAAAAACCTGCATGAATAATGAGAATCAACTTACATATATCTTAAATTAAACTCCATAAAACTTCTTTGTATTTCTTTATGTTTTGAAAGCAAAGATATTTCTACTTCTAAACTTATATATCTACATGAGTGGCATATATTGGAGGACATTAGGATAAAAATGGCATCAGTCACGTGTTTTCTTTTCAATCTTATACCTACTTTTAGTTTTAAGATAGGAACTCTGAGCAGTTTGTGAATTGAGATCTATCTGGGTTCTTTGTTAAAATCTTAAGCCACTAAATTTGCTAAGGCTGCTTTTGATTTCTAAACCTGTCCACTGAGGATGTAGCTGTTGACACACATCTTTTGCTTCTATCCACATTTTAAATTGCTAAGTCTTCTCACTTACCAACTTTACATTTCCCTGTATGGCCCCGGAAGATGACTAGTTAGCCAGAGACGGGTAAGATTCCTCAAGGGAGGAACAACCTAAGACAGGCACAGTCGCAGGGGGGCCATCAGGTGAGAAATTGGGGATCAACAGAGGGGAGGCTCAGAACCTCACCCCCCCTGTTTTGAGAGAAATCTTCTGCATCCGTGGATGTTTTGCTGCCCTTGTCTAGCTTGGATTAATACTTAGTCCATAGGCACAGACCTGATCATCTACATTTGCCCTCTTACAGCACTAAACTATGTTTTCTACCTTTATCTTGCATCTACCTACCACTTCAGCATTTTATTAAAAATAAAAATAATAATAATAATAATAAAAGGAGAAATGTGGGATCCACATATAAATCAAGCATAAAAATCAAACAAATATTCATATTTGACCTGATTGTTTATAGTTCATAATGCATGATCAAAACCGAAAGTTTCTGTGATGAATGCCCTTGTACTGTTCACCATGTAAGAACTTATTCACTATCTAAGAATTCATTCACCATGTAGGAACTTGTTCGTTATGCTTCAGAGGATTGGAGACTGACGAGAATTAGGCTTGAGATGGATTAATGATTGTGCATTGAGCATTGACCCCCCTATACAGAATTTTATTGTTGTTAACAACCATTTGATCAATAAATATGAGAGATGCCCTCTCAAAAAAAAAAAAAATTGCTAACTCTTGTCCTCCTCTTGTGTTAATAGGTTTTAGTTATATTGCATTTGTGTCTTTTATTGCAAGCTGCCTGAAATCTTTGTGAAGTATAAATAAATACATGTATCGATAAAAAAATTTCATATTATTATATCTGTATATTGGGAATGTCTATAGACACATCTTCCATAGCAGAATTAGAAAGAAGAATCTCTACTTTGGGGCCATCATGATATAGTGAAAGTATTTTGATTGGCCTTTTTTCATACTTGCAACACAATGTAAATACAAAAACTTTTTAATTTTGCAAATTCTTCCATCTAATATTATGCATTGCTTCCATAGGTTTTGTAGCTGAACAATTTCTAAATAACACAGCCACTCAACTGACATACCATGGATTATGTGAACTAACTTCAACAGTTCAGGAAGGAGAACTTTGTGTGTTCTTTCGGAATAATCATTTTAGCACCATGACCAAATACAAGGTATGATATAGGAATAGCTATTTAATTGTTTTTCTAAATTAAAGGAGATGAATTTGGAGATGTTTTATAATATGCTTCGAAATAAAAAAGCCCTATTATAATATTCCTTAACCATCATATTATGAAGCTAATTATTAAATATTTCTTTAGGATGGAATGGATTAGCAATTTAAGTGTCACTTCAAATCAGTTTTTTTTTTTTAAGTCTCAGCTCCTTTTCCACAGATTACTGCATTAAAAAGTATTTATTATTTACTAAGAAAAAACGGCCCTAGAAATAGAACCAGGATGCCTGCTAATGATGGAGTTGATATTGGAGGGCTAGCAGAGTTCTGAACAATCAGGATTTGTCTTTTTGATAGTGTTTGTTTTTATTAAAGTTAATAGTGCGATTTTAAATTCTTATGCCATTTATGGCTCTGTCAAAGAATCTTACTGACATCCTTTTTGTTACCTTTTCATCCATCCACCTGTTTTTATAGCTGCCACCTAATTCAGGAGTTTATCAACTTACACTTAGACTTCTGTGGTAGAACACTACCCTGATCATGTCACTAATATAGCAAAAATATTCAGTTGCACCTAGAGCCTAGAGGATAAAAGTGCAAAGTATCTCCTACTATTCCATCCCAATACTTTGCTTCAGCCATAATGGTCTGTCTACTCATTAACAATCCTCCATCCCCATACGCACTTTGTGATTTCCCATTTCTGCAACTTCACTGCCATTTCTTATGCCTTAATCCCTATTTGAAAAGATCTCACTCCTTTTTGCCTGTCCAAATTTCACCTATCCCTTAAGGAGCATTTCAAACACAAACTCTTCAACAGAGCTACTGATTCTCTCCTTAAACCAGTGGTTCTTACCCCAGATTGTATGCTACAACTACCAGGGAAGATTTTTAAAAAATAACAATGCCCAGAGCGTACCACCAACTCAATTAAATAAGAATCTCTGGAGGTGGAGCCTGAGTACTTTAAAAATGCTCCCCACATGATTTGAATGTGCTGCTAAGGCTAAGGATCACTACTGTACTCATCCTCTCGCGTTGTTATGGGCCATATCATCCTTTCTTTGCCCTTAATGGTAAGTACCTGGCTACCAGTTTTGTTTCCATGTAAATGTGTTTTATTCTTACAAATGCAAGTAAGCTTATTGAAATCAGGAATCAAGTCTTCATATTTCTTTCAACAGTTTAATCAATGAATTGCACTAAATAGTGTAAAAATAATTTGTTTGCTTATAAAAGAATATTCTAAAGTTCTAGCCCTCCTACTTGTGTATTATTTACAGTAAGTGTTTATTTGTACTGCCCCCACATTTATGCTAGATGTGTCCTAGGTATGGGCCCAGTATTTGTCATCCATACTGCTCAGAAGTCTAAGGCCAAATAACCACAGAATCAGAATTATTGCTACATAGTAAATACTGCCGAGTCATCTTGCTTTATCTAAAGAGCTTGTCAAGTCCACACTCTATTCACTCATTTAACAAATATCTGTTGAGCACGATTATGTCTGAGTACTTTCAGGTAAGTACTAGGACTGCAGCCTGAACGAGGCACCTGTGGTTCTTGCCATTTAAGGACCTCCTAGTTTGATAAGGGACAATGTGAAATACTTGCACAAATAGTTATTATTTCTATTGAGATATACTCTGTAAAGAGTACATACAACATACTGTGAACTCTTTTATCAGGACTTATAACCTACTTAGGGATATCAGGAAAGACTTGCTTGGGATGTAACATTTAAACTGAGACCTGAAGAAGATGAATCTTCTAGGATTTTAATCAGTCAGCAAAAAAGGGTCTAACTAAGCAGATAGAACATGTGTGCAAAGGCCCTTAGGAAGGAAATAATTCAACTCTTGAAGGAATGAAAAGAAGGCCCATGTGGCTGAAGCATAGAAATTAAGAGGCATGAAGTAAGCCTAAAGAGATAGGCAAGTACCAGATCTTGTAGTGTCTTAAGTTAAAAGGAGAAACAGACCTTGGTCTCCTGGTGGACTCATGGTTTTTTGTTCTCTCTTTTTGGTTGAGCAGGAGTGAAATAGTTCAGTGGGAAAACAAGGTCTCTGGCTGTCACTAGTGGTTGTTCCAAAACTGAGATCTAGATGTTCCCTGTTCTATCAAAGCCATATCCTGACCAGAAAGTCCTTTACTAGTCAACTAGGTGTTACCAATCTCCTGTGTGGTTAGCTATTAGGAATCTCCTATGTGTTGTCTTTCCTGAAGTACTTTATACTATGTGTCTGTTTCTGGACTAAGCATGCCTTTTTGTGATATAATGATAGCGTGCAAGCTGCTGTTTCTCTGTTTCCGAGTTTTTCTCAATGAACCTAATTCTATGGCTAAACAGTGCATCATTTATGATGAGTGTCTCTGGTACCCTTATACAACATTAAGTTGCTTTGGACTTAGAAGTAAGAGCAGGTGTGGATTTAGTTAGGAGGCTATTGCAGGAGGCCAAATAAGAGATAGTGATTTAGACTAGGAAGGTAAGAAATGGAGAGCTGACAGATTCCATAGACATTTAGGAGATATGATCAACCAGATTTGGTGATTAGGATGTGAAAAATAAGGAAGAAAAAATGATTTCTGAGTTCTGAGCATGAACAACTAGATGGATGAATGGTGGTGGTCATATTAAAACAGAGAACACTGGAAGAGGAGAAGAAAGATACTATGAAATGAGGTATCTTGGAACTATTAGAGCTGTGGCATCCCTGCAAGTGGCAGTGTTGGGAAATAGTCAAGGCTGGAATAATTTTTGTGTACAAATAGTAATTTGGGAAGAGATTTATAAGAAAAATATAGAATAAGATGAAAAGAAAAGGCCTAGCACAGAGATTTGAGGAGTGCCAATGTTTAATATCAACTGGAGGCAAAGAAGACTGAAAAAGAAAAGAAAAAAGGAAAATCTAAAGTACATAAGCCAGCAGGGTGAGAATGTTTCAAAAAGAATGGAGATCTCAGTTAAATGCTGTTGAGAAGATGGTAAAGATAAGAACACCGAGGGGAAAGGTGTCCAATAGCAATTTGGTATCTTTTAGAGAATGGTGGCACCAGAAAAAAATCAGTTTAAATTGGTTAAGAAATGATTGGGATGTCAGAAACTAGAAATGGATTATAGGCAACTCTTTGAAATAGTTATTTCTGTGAGGAGCCTAGACATAATGGCCCAGAGCTACAGTGGAGTGTGGAATCCAGGGAGGAGTTTTTGTTTTTGTTTTATAATAGGAGAGACTTGAACATATTTAAATACTGAAGGACTCAATAGAGAAAGGTTGAAGATTCAGGAGAGGAGATAATTGATGTTAGAAGGCTCCCCAGAAAGTGAGAAATGACTGATTAAAAAAAAACCTCTTCATTGTAAAAGAACAAAAGAACACACTGTGAGTACAGCTACAGGTAAGTTTGTAGCTTTGGTGGCAGGAGTAAAGACAGTTTCTGTTTGAATGCTTTCTGTTTTTATGTGGAAGGCAAGATCATTTACTGAGACTGAGTAGGGGTGGGAAGGTTTGGTTCCAGATTTAAAGAAGGAAACTTTGAAGTAGTCTTTACAGAATGTGGAAGAAAACTCTAACTAGAGAAATTAAGAAAAATCACTAGGCAGCATTGAGGATGGTAATTCCTATATGAATATGCCACTTGTGTGATTTTCCTGAAGGAGTATTTATCAGAGGTGGGCATGGAGAAGGTAGCTAGTTTATTGTTCTGGACTTGGGACTTTGTTAAGTAAGTGCAACAAAGAATGGAAGAGCAAAGGAATTTAGGAACATGATAGTATTATGAACATGATGGTATTGTCCTAATTTATAAATATTGCCTAGAGCAAATAAAACACCATTCTTCACTAAGGTAGTCCTATTTTTATAGAAGGGATAAATGAGGACGTTTGGTTAATTTTGGTATGGAGGCCAATCACTAGCACGAATGCCCTTGTTTACTACTGTGATCACCAAACCAAAACAGTAACACTGTTTTTTACTTATGAAAAACTGCAGACTTACAGAAAAATGAGACTAATGTGTATCTATTATATTTATCACTTACTTTTGACAATTTTTCACAAGCTATTTTCATCTATTTTTATTTTTGCTTATGACTAGAAGCCCTAAAGGAATACTTAATAAAATGTTGGGAAGGAATTCCTTCAACATGATATCCATTTGCCTGATATGGAAATAGGATGGAAGATTGTGTCCTTGTTCTATTATACCTAATCCACAGTAAAACTGTTGTCCTCCGTCACTAGTTCCTGTGTTATTAGTTTCTGTGTTACTTTATAAATATGAGCCCCAAGGAATCTGTGTTCTAATAAGGATATAAGCAAAGAAAAATTAGAAAGCTGCTTTTTCAAACAAGATATGGCTACTTTTAACACTATATTAGATCTTCATAATGCCTTGTAACATTTCACTTTTGAAGAACTCTGAGATTTTTAGGGCCTTTTTATGCATTCATATTCAATAATCATTTTATTTCCCATCTTCTTTCCTCCATACTGCTTTTCACAATGGTTGAATAGGATAGAGACTCCAGACATTAACCCAAACATATATGGCCAATTAATATAAGATAAAGGAGCCATGGACATACAATGGGGAAGTGACAGTCTCTTCAACAGATGGTGCTGGCAAAACTGGACAGCTACATGTAAGAGAATGAAACTGGATCACTGTCTGACCCCATACACAAAAGTAAATTCGAAATGGATCAAAGACCTGAATGTAAGTCATAAAACCATAAAACTCTTAGAAAAAAACGTAGGCA